TTTGTTTAGTTGTACGTGAAATTCAAACTGAACTATTGTTTCATTGTGTGACACATGCATTCCAGTTTCTTTATGGAAAGAAAATGTTAACACTTTGAAGAAAACATTTTCTGATGAAATACAACTTCATTTCAGATTTGCAGTTGTTAAAATACTTTGTGATCGCAGAATCCCGATGACAGAGGTCACCATGTGTCATAACAGCAAAATGTTTAGGCAACTTTTCACTGTTTTAGACCAGCTATTTGTATTAAAAGATAAAGTTCACAGTTTTGTAGTAATATGTGTATTTTTAAAATTGTTGTGGAACAGAACTTTACAATAAATGTTAATATCATGTTCATGTGGGGCAGAAATATACAATAAATGTTAATATCAGGATATGTGGGGCAGAATCGTATAATAACTGTTAACATCATGTTCATATTGGGCAGAATTATACAATAACTGTTAACATCATGTTAATATTGGGCAGAAATTTTCTATAACTGTTAACATTGTGTGAATGTCTAGCTCTTCCCAATTCCATAGATTTACATTTAATAGTCTAATTTTATTGTGTGAGTCAAACTTTTTATATATTAATGAACTGTAGAGTTACAGAAATTTACATATTAATTTGTTTATGATCAAAACTCCTGGTATGATGTGATGTTTACTGCAGGTTCCAAGAGTGGATGAACCAAAAGAACTATGGAAGAAGATACAAGATTTTGCCGAACATTATAAAAAACCTCCAGACAATTAAACATTATTTGTACACAGTTTAATTAAATATATCTTTTTTATTAATTACATCATAAAGATTTGTTTGTATAATAGGTTTGAATAAAAACATCAATAGTGTTGAATATTACTCTGAGGTGTGTGTTTTAGAAGAACGTGAGGAAATATGTTGAGCAGTACAAAATCTTTGGAAATATGAAAATCTCTTGATTTACTTTAGGCTATTCATTGATTGATTTCAATATATATATAGTTATTTGTCACCATTTAATTTCCTTTCTATTTCTTACAAATATAGACATGTTAAGAAGAAATATATAAATAAAACAGCATTGTTCTTGTTCTGACTGAACATAAAAGTGAATGGTTGTTGTAATAATTATTTTATAAGTAAGACAATATGAAAGATAGTTTTGTTTGAGTTTACTTACTAATTATATATATACATATTATTTTTTTTTTTTACAAGTTACAGCTTTTACAATAAGGAAGAATTCTTTTTTAAACAGGTACAGAGTTTTGATGGTGACCACCCAGTATACCAAAGACCTGAGTGTCACAGATTTGTGGTTTATGCAATATAAGTTATTGATGAAATAAACAAATTCATAGGTCCATAATACAAACAACAGAAATATTTGAATCGACATTGTAGTGTACAGCTCATTGCGTTGACTTGGTGTCAAGATAATTTTACTGACTGGAAACTTTTAACATGTTTAATGAGTTGGGGATATGACATTCGTTGTCTATGGAATCTTGAATGTCCATTCTATTAGATTCTCAAATCCTGATGATTAAATATATGAAGCTAACACTATATATACATATATATACAACATCAGGGAAATGATGATAAACATTATCCATTCATTCATGACAAATTGCAACATTTTAGGTCATATCCTGGGGTGTTTTTGTCATAAAATTTCACAAATTTAATCAAATAATCAATTTAACGTTTTGACTATTAAAAAAAACATCTTCAGGCTATTGTAATGTGCCCTCGGACTAACGGACCATCACCATTTTGATCACTATTGTTCTCAAGTACACAGATTTTAACCTTTTCTTACCATTAAAACCTGTACTTGAAAATAATTGTACCAGTGAAACAGTTTAAAAAAATTCTTCCTTACTGATAAAAAATGTGAAAAAGAATTTGCCACCATATTATTTTCGTTAAAGAATACAAATGCATGCATTAATTACTTGCTGAAAGATTGCAGACATTGTAACCTCTATAAGATTTATGTGACATTGTTATTGTTGATTAAAGTAAAATGTTGTAGTTTTAAAATAACTGGAATTTTATGTTTTGAAATCAGACCTGTTAATAAATAACTTTATTTCTTTATTTTTTAGTGTAATTAAAGACAAGAAAGATAAAATGCTTATTCTTAACAAAAAAAACAAATAGTGGCAAATTTGAGTTTTAACCTAGTTTTGAAGCACTTCTAGTTCAGCAAAAGGTATTCATTAACCTTAGTTTTCATAAATTTATGGAAATTATTCCAGCCAATTAACACTGTTTATAAAATTGACACAGCTATCTTCTGAGGATTTCTGATAATTTTCATAAAATATGTAATAATTTGTACATTTCTTCCTTCTGAGCTTTCTTGGTTGTGGAACTCTTCCAAAGTAAACTGTTATTATAAGTGTGAGTACATAAATGCTACCTGTGATAAGCCTAGTTTAACATATAAAAAGTAAAATTTGTGATTCATAGTAAGTTTACATCAAAGCTCAGTGCTTCAGTATGAAAATAAGTATGCATATATTATTACAAGTAAGATAAGACAATTATATTGCTCTCAGTGTTCAGCTAATTTCTAATATTAACAGGTGACTTACTGGTTTATATAGAAATACAAGTTTATTAATATATATTGTAAATCTAAATTACCTTAAATACAACCGAATTTGTTTTAGGTTTCACAATTCAATAGAACAACTATCCAAAATTCTGTATTTATTTGAAGTTTTCCTTTGAAGTGAATTCCATAGAGCATATTTCATTAAGTCTAGCATTTGAATTATAATTCATAAACTGTTTACTGTTTCTTCTCTTTGAAATCTTCATAAGGACTTTCAATCAACCTATTGCACACTTATTTCTAGTTCTAACAATTACAGCAGGTTCAACAATTTTAGTGGTGCTAGGAGTCATAATAGTATTTTCATTATTGTTTCCAAGAAAATTCTGGCTTAACAACAATAATATTGTTTTTTTGACTAGACTTGTAAGTTTTGTTTACAAAGGACAATTAACATATGCATAACTTGCAGCTCAAACCTCTATTTGTCACAAAAATTTATTTATGTGATTATAAAATGATAATGAGAGTCAATAGTATTGTAGGTTGCTAGGTCTTGAGTAATTAATGAAATGTTGGGTTCTTCAAAGATATTCAGCAACCTAGGGGGAAGGTATACGTTTAAATGGAAACCAAGCTGGCTGGTATCATTACTTAATTATTAAAGACAAAACTTTACTCATAGGATTTTTCTTAATAGAAAAAGTGTTGAGAAGCTAGGCATTCATGCTGAACATATTCATGAGGAAAAAACTCTTCCAAATACATTGAAAAATCACATATCTAAAACATATGAACTCCTCTGAACAAGAAAAAGTCATCTTTTAGTTTTACTGTTGAACACAGCTTGAACCTGTAAGGCAGTATGTTGAATTTCAAAGTTAATTTAATATTTATCATATCTTTTACAGTTAAATGAGGTTTTTCATATTCTCATCAACTTTTTAAGTAACTGATAAATTTTCTTTATGATAGCAATATATTTATTACTGGTATTTGTTCTAAAATATTAAATGTTCACTGTTTGTTAATATGCATCTGTTGTTGGTGTTTCTTATCCATTATAAGCTTCCTAGTTTGTTTGTTTTTTTACAAATTAAGATTATCAGTCATTATCAAAATACAACAATTTGAATTTGTTCCTGGTTAAATTTCCTTGTAAGTTAAAACTAGCATTTGTTAAATTGAACTATTCTAAGAAACCACTTATTTTAACCAGTGTTTTCTTTAATTGATGTTCCACTACACTGCATCACTCTCCTAATCAGGCTATTTTCTGTAGGTCATTCTTGTCCATTTATATACCCACTACACTGCATCACTCTCCTGATCAGGCTATTTTCTGTTGGTCATTCTTGTCCATTTATATACACACATTACACTGCATCACTCTCCTGATCAGGATATTTTCTGTAGGTCATTCTTGTCCATTTATATACCCACTACACTGCATCACTCTCCTGATCAGGATATTTTCGGTAGGTCATTGTCCATTTATATATCCACTACACTGTATCACTCTCCTGATCAGGATATTTTCTGTAGGTCATTGTCCATTTATATACACACTACACTGCATCACTCTCCTGATCAGGATATTTTCTGTAAGTCATTGTCCATTTATATACACACTACACTGCATCATTCTCCTGATCAGGATATTTTCTGTAAGTCATTGTCCATTTATATACACACTACACTGCATCACTCTCCTGATCAGGATATTTTCTGTAGGTCATTATCCATTTATATACCCACTACACTGCATCACATCATTTTACAGTTATGACCTGTGGCTCACACTTGAGTATTAATATACATTTACCAACTGTGCAGTAGCATTTCTATCTGCAGAATATTTCACTGTGTTTTATGTACTGATTAATAATGTTCAGTTTTATATTACCGAGTTAGTAAGCCAGGGAATGGATTTTACTTATTAATATCTATGGTTGTGGTATTATGTTTAACGATAATGTCAGTGCCTTAAAACTAGATACATACTAAATTTTTATATTTATAATTATTTGTATTTCATATTGCAATAAATCTGTCCATTTTATAAAATATATTACCAAATCATGGCAAAGCATTTCTACAAAACTTGACTAACTCAAGCAGTCTAATTCTTTAAACTGGAAAAATTATTATTGTGTTAAGTATAAATATAACAGCGTTAACAAGTGGTTTATATAGTTCTACTTTGATGGTTTAATATTTCAATACTATACAGAGAAAGGCCACTGAGGTTAATTACTAATGAGTATATAAAGCTTATCTGTCAGCATGACCAGTAAAATACCATTAAGTGACAAGTGTATTCATACAGTCTTTTTACTGTTGTGAAGATTGGTGGTATTTCTGGGTCATAAACTATTACAGTTTATTGGTTCTATAGTCACTGTAACACAAATGTATATATGAAAGAGTAACAACAGCAACCAATGACCATATTCATTCAGAGTGGCTAAATGTTTTTAACTTCTGGTGTAAGTAAGTGCTAATAGCTAAGGCTCCCCCATGTACAAATCGTACAAAGTTATCCCCTACTAGGGGTCCCATAGCAAAGATACCGGAATAGGTTGCCATCTCATGCGTGTAAGGATTAATCGCTATAGGGTTCTGCCGACAATTGATGGGTTCTTCGGGTCTGACTGTCAGTTCAGAACTACAGTTTGATATGAAACTTAGATCTGGCTGCATTCCTATTAACACAATGACATAGGCAGCATCTATGACAATCTTACTTTCTTTTTTAGTAGTGTGTTCTAGGATCACAGTGTGATTGGGCAGAACTTGCACAAGCTGGTGTTTGGGGTAAGACTTGTATCGAGAATAAAGAACTCCAGAGGTGTCGGCCATCATCTGGTGGACCTTATGATACTCGGGATACATATTCTGGGGTAAATTATTAAAAATAAGCTCGGGGTCCTCCACGTCCCGCCTAAAGACGTGGGTGATGTGGATGCCACTAAAATGAGCAGCAATAATAGCATCAGCAGCACACAAGCCAGCTCCTACAACCACCAAGTTGTTGGACTTGTCATGCAGCTGGCTGCCTGACAGTAACCGTTCAAGTTCTATTAACGAGTGCAACACAAACGGTAAGTCCTCTCCTGGAACACCCATCTTTCTGGGTTGGTCAGAGTTTCCTGTAGCTAAGACCACGTGTGGAGTGACGAAACAAAATGGCTTTACCTTAGTGGACTCTAGCTCTTTCCCGTGGAACTCAATCTGTCCGCGCACTTCCCAAAGGGGCAGTTTTTGACCGAGAAAATAATAGCTGTCTTGTGTTGTGGTTTGAACTTGCTCCACACCTATTGGTTTAATTGATGTAACCTTAGCATATTCCATAAAGAAATTCCCAAGATCCATGATTTCTACATAGTCTTTGTAGTATTCAGCTACTGTTCCCACTGTTGCTCTTGTTTGCCGTAAACCAGATATTTCTGCATCGTCTCTGGAGAAATAATTAATGTATGTAAAGTCAATTCAAAATTTACAGTAGAATAGCATAAACAAAGATGCTCTTACCCTGCTCGTGCTTGATTTTATAAATTTCATTTATAATTTTAGAATATTTCAATCCTTCGGTTGTAAATGTTATAAGTAGATGTGATAGGAGAGGATTATAAAATTCTGCCTTTTATTTTGATGTAATTAATAAACATGAGGATTATAAATAGTGTTTACATTTTTTATTTTGAATTATTCACCTTAATTTTAAAACGCACCCACATTTTTGGTTTGTATTTGATCGTGTTTAAAGTTTCACTGATCATAGTACATTTTTGGTTTGTATTTGATCGTGTATCCTGTGATTTTAGATTCATTTTCCACATGAGAAAGGACTGTAACTAATGTATGGGGTTAGTTAGACTGTTAAGAAGTTGTTTCCTGTGATATTTAGATTATTTTCCACATGAGAAAGGACTGGAATTAATGTATGGGGTTAGTTAGATGTTAAGAAGTTGTTTCCTGTTGCAGGATCTCCAACATTTAAGTGAAGGGTTAGAAGGAAGATCTAAGAATCCTGTCTCTGTTCTTTTTGATGCTCTTCTTCGGCCTGAAGCTGACTTTGGATTAGATTTTCCATCAGTAGTCAGATGGGAGCATCACCCAGAGCAGAAAATTGGACACGTGGTTTTAGGAAAAGGACCTGCAGGTGGATCTTGGCAAGTAAGGAGCATTTCACGGATTAATATTAGAATATGTTATTTTTTTTGTTGTGCTTAGTTGTAATCAAGATTTTGTAAATGCACAAGTTAAAAAAAATCAGAAAGAAATGTGCCATACATTTATTTTCACACACATATGATACTTCTTATATTATTTTATTTGTCTAGAAGATGGAAACAAGCACACTCACAATAAGTCAAGGATCATGGATGGAACTTCCTGGTCTAACCATTAAAGAATGGGAATTATTAAGAAACAGGTAAGTTAAATTTCACCCTGACTTCTGAACTTAACTCTTGTCTAATATATGAACATTCGTCTTAATTTAAAAAACTGTTAAGTTACAGTTTTTCAAATCCAAATAAAACGTTTGCTGTTTTGACTTCATTTGGTTTGATTGTTCAATGTTTTTGAGCACAAATAGTTCTCTGTGCTCTGCCCACCACGGACGCAGAAACCCAGATTTTGGAGCTGAGCCACTGGGGTGGGGACTTCACTTCATTTGATAAACCCAAACTCAATATGAACAGTAAATTAATATAAGTAGAGTAAGCTAACCTAGGTGTCGCTTTCCTTCCATCGTTTTTTCTTCTGTTCTCAGTACTCTATACAATATCCCAGATGCTTTGAATCTGTTGCCAATCTATTACATCGGATTGTTACGATTTCTTTCTGTTTCTATACCTGTATTCCATACTAGCTTGTCACTGTTAACAAATGCAAATACATATAATAACTATTACAGCTTGCTAGTGAGTTGCTTTCTGTAAATCCTTATTTCATTTAAACATTTTTTTAAATGGTTGCTAAGTTTCTTTGTCACAACATAAATACAATTTATACTTATAACACTTATTATGAACATGCTTCCACCTAACTAACATAGCTTTTCGGTAAGTGTTAAGTTTCTTACAATTTTTAATCGGTGTGTTCCACGGAATTTTCAGATTGGGAACAAAAAGCTTCACTGATCATCGTACATTTTTGGTTTGTATTTGATCGTGTATAAAGTTTCACTGATCATAGTCCTGTGATATTTAGATCCATTTTCCACATGAGAAAGGACTAGGAACTAATGTATAGGGTTAGGTAGACGTTAAGAAGTTGTTTAAACAACTTCTTAACGTCTACCTAACCCTATACATTAGTTCCAGTCCTTTCTCATGTGGAAAATGAATCTAAATATCACAGGAAACAACTTCTTAACGTCTACCTAACCCCATACATTAGTTCCAGTCCTTTCTCACGTGGAAAATGAATCTAAATATCACAGGAAACAACTTCTTAACGTCTACCTAACCCTATACATTAGTTCCAGTCCCTTCTCATGTGGAAAATGGATCTAAAATCACAGGAAACAACTTCTTAACGTCTACCTAACCCTATACATTAGTTCCAGTCCTTTCTCATGTGGAAAATGGATCTAAAATCACAGGAAACAACTTCTTAACGTCTACCTAACCCTATATATATTAGTTCTAGTCCTTTCTCATGTGGAAAATGGATCTAAATATCACAGGGTTCGAGACGTGATTACACTGAACTTCACAATTTCAGCCGCGGACGAATTATGGATTGTGCTGCTGATGCTATTATTGCTGCTCACTTTCATGGCATCCACATTACCCACGTCTTTAGGTGGGACGTGGAGGACCCGAGCTTATTTTTAATAATTTACCTCAGAATATGTATCCCGAGTATCATAAGGTCCACCAGATGATGGCCGACACTTCACAATTTCAGCCGCGGACGAATTATACAAGTGACAGCTAATGTTTTATTTGGTTTAGGGACAAAGTCATTGTAGTGATAGGTACATCTGGCTAGATTACTTCTTTCTGGTCAGTAGTTCAAAATTGGAAATGGCTGTTTTGAACAATCTGTATCATCTAGTATAACGGTCCGTATACAGGTTTAGGTGTTCTCACGGTTTGAACTGTCAGTATCATCTAGTATAACGGTCCGTATACAGGTTTAAGTGTTCTCACAGTTTGAACTGTCAGTATCATCTAGTATAACGGTCCATATACAGGTTTAGGTGTTCTCATGGTTTGAACTGTCAGTATTATCCTGTATAACGATCCTTATACAGCTTTAGGTGTTCTCACGGTTTGAACTGTCAGTCTAATATATCCTCCCTGTGTAAAAGACAGTAAATCGTCCTTTAATGTATTTAATTCACTTTGAAATTTGCTAATGTTTTCCATTTGTACTTCTTGCCACTGTTGTTGACTTTCCCGTAGTTGCTGCTGACTTTCCTGCAACTGTTGGAGACTTTCTTCCTGTTTCCTTTCTTGTTCCAGTTGCCACAGCTGTAATCTCTCTTCTTGTTTCTCTTCTCATTCTTCTTGTTTCTTTTCTTTTTCCTCCAACAGCTGCTGTAATCTCTCTTCTTGTTTATTTTGTTGTTCGAGCTGCCATTGTTGCAGGTTTTCTTGCCACTGCTGTAATCTCTCTTCTTGTTTCTTTTCTCGTTTTTCTTGTTTCTTTTCTTTTTTCTCCAACAACTGTTGTAATTTCTCTTCTTGTTTCTTTTCTTTTTCCTCCTACAACTGCTGTAATCTCTCTTCTTGTTTCTTTTCTCGTTCCTCTTGCTTCTTTTGCTGTTCTTGTATTGCTGCCATCAAATCTGCTAAGCTGTAGTTTGATTTACTGCTTCTCCTTTCCATCTTCTTTTTTTTCCACTCTCTGACACCAATTTGTTACGTTTCTGGCCGATTGTTAATTACTCATAAAAATTCTTTCCGAATAACTTCAGCGATACAAGTCCTTTCTCAAATAAAACTAGTTTATTCTTTCTCAATTCAACTTTGCAATACACTTAATTTCCACAGTCACCTTAACTTAAACACACGCTACAATTCTCAACGAACGATTCACGCACTTTACTTACTACCGCGCTTGGCTCAATTGTCCCTCTATATCTTCAATCTCTTCAAGCCAGATTAATTGTCTGGCGCACTTATATACAATAATAGAGAGCGTCTAGCAAATACTGGATTATTTGTCATGTTCCCCGATCTTTCTAGAACTCATTACGTGTTACCAGCGTCACGTGACTTCCGCTGTCGTAACAACCTAAACCTATATACGGACCGTTATACTAGAAGATGGTTCCATACCTGAGTTCTAGAGCAGCTACCAGTGCTCTATAGTTGTGCCTGTTGTCTGCTGACAACTGTCCAAGTATTTTCAGTGGTTGTCCCTTCAGGCTCGTTGCCAGGTACAATGCTTTCTGCTCCTCTGTCCATCCATTCATTTCTGCCAGGAGCTCAAATTGTGCTCTATATGCTTCCCATGGTGCCTTCCCATCGAATTCCTGTGGCTTCCTTTGTACTAGATCACCCCTATTGCTGACACTCGTGTCTGGAATGTGACTTCTGGCTGGACTGAAGATGTCTGCATTAGGGTTTAGCTGCGGGGTCTGGAAGGGACTTCCTGTTGTCTGGGGCTGATTAGATCCATGGAAAAATCAGTCCAAAGTCTACAGGGCTAGGTTTAGGACGAGAGTCCGTGCTAAAGGGGAGAGACTGCAAGAGCTGGCACAGGATTTGGAAAGTATGGTACACAAGGCCTACCCAACTGCACCACCCGATGTCCTCAAGCTGTTGCTGAGGGATCAGTTTATATATGCCTTGGGCAGTCCACAACTGAAGATACAAGTAAAGCAAGCTCACATCTCTACTATACAGAATGCAATGGCCAGAGTTCTTGAATTTGAATCCTACATTAAGTCCAGCACAGAGGTACCAAGGTTGGTACTGTCATCAGGATTCAAGACCAGAAAAGGTCAGCTTTCAGAGAGGTTTGAGGGACTTTGCTGGTACTGTAACAAACCTGGGCACAAGAAAGCTGAATGCTGGAACTTCAACACAGGAAAGATGCCATGGCAGGAAAGGCTGCTGCCCAGAAAAGTTGTTGGAACTGTGGAGAGCAAGGTCATATGAGGAGCCAGTGTAAGAAGAATACTACCAATAAGTCAGTCTCTGGGAAACCAGCAGTGGTTGGTGTTGAGGGATGCCCACCAATCCCCATCATGAAAGTTCCAACAGCTAAGTGTAAAATGGCAAGCACACATAGTGTCTACGTGACAGGGAAGCTGGATGGCCAAAGGTGCGACTTTCTCATAGATTCTGCATCTCAGTAAATCCTTGTGAGTATCAAGGTGCTGGATCATAAAGGAGTACCAGAAGCCATACAGAAGCTTTGTGGTGTTACAGGACATTATGCAAGGTTGTGGGGACCAGTATGGGCAACTATTGAGCTCATGGACATAAACAACAAACACAAAGTATACTTGGCTGACATTGAAGACCAATGCATATTAGGATTGGACTACTTACTACCAAAAAAGTGTGTAATTAATTTTGATGAAATGACGTTTGGGAACACTCAACGCCAAATTCCGGTAACTGTGAAAAGAGACTGAACTAACCAGGTGCCATCAAGCTGAAGTCAAAGCGACTGAAGGAGTTGATGATGGTGGAGTGGAACCGGGTATAGATATTAAAGCAGAACAGGAAAAAGACCAAGATTTGAAGCCAATAATTGATTTTCTAAAAGCAAGTGTTTTGCGCCCTGCTTCAGAGAAGGTGTCTAGCTTAAGCCCTGTGAGAAAGAACTATTGGGCACAATGGAACCAGTTGAAGCTTGAAGATGGTATTTTTCTCCAGAGATGGGAAAGTGACGACCTGACAAACGGTTATACCGAGAAAGTTACGGGAAGATGTGCTGCGTCAATCCCATGATAGTTTAACAGGAGGATATCT